GTGCTGTGGCTCAAGTGGTAGAGTGCTAGCCTTGAGCTGAAGAGCTGAGGGACAGCGCCCAGGCCCAGAGTTCAGGCCCCACAACCAGACCCCAAAAAAAAAAAGAGTCTCACAGGGACTTTTCTGTCTGGGCTGGCTTTGAACCATGACCTTCAGATCTCAGCCTCCTGAGTAGCTAGGATTACAGGTATGAGCCACTGGCACCCAGCTCAGGAAACTCTTATCGCCAATTAATTACTACAAAATCTGGAAATAGAGCTGTGGCTCAAGTAGTACTAGCTTTGAGCAAAACAAGCTTTGGGACAGGTCCCAGACCCTGAGTTGAAGCCCTGGGACCAGCACACACACAAACACACACAAAAAGTGCTTATCACAAGATGAATAGAAATACATTTTTGCTCATCTTAATTGTCTTTCTTTCTTTCTTTTTCTTTTCTCTTTTCTTTTCTTTCTTTTTTTTTTTTTTTGCTGATCCTGGGGCTTGAACTCAGAGCCTGGGCTCTGTCCTTAAGCCAGTCTATGCTCAAAGCTAGTGCTCTACCACTTGAGCCACAGCACCACTTCTAGCGTTTTCTGTTTATGTGGTACTGAGGAATCAAACCCAGGGCTAACTAAGCCACATTCCCAGACCCTCATCTCAATTTTCTAAAAAAATTTTATAATCAACTTTTGTGGTGAGAAAACAATAATAACAAGGGATCTCTCATCTACCACCACCACCACCAACAACAACAGAAAAGTGCTGCTTAGGCTAGAAGAAACTACATTTGTAATTGAGCTCTTATCATTTACATCTAAGTGCCTGTGCAAAACAGTATGAGGATGATTCTTATTTACCTTTCAGCCAATTCTTCAGGCATTCGCTTTGGAACCAAGGCTCTATCCAGCTCAATCTCCAACACAATGTATGTCCCTGCTTCTAGATATTGCTGTAAAGACATATTTTCTCATTTGTTATTTCCAAGGAAAAAGATATGTATGAAAAAAGTAAGATAGCACTTACAATAGGCAAAGAAAAATACACATACAACTAATACATAAAGTATAATATCAAGTGTTAAAGAGTTTTTAGATAGAAAAATATTTAGGGAGGAAATAGAGTAGTAATGATTATCTCTTGGAGGAAAGGCTTTTCACGTATTTATTTGGTTTGAAGTCAGGGCCTGGACATTCTCCATGTTTCTTTTACTCAAAGTTAGTGTTCTATCACTTTGAGCCACAGCTCCACTTCCAGTTTTCTGGTGGTTTATTGGAGATAAGAGTCTCACAGACCTTCCTGCCTGGGCTGGCTTTGAACCTCAGTTCGAAGATCTGAGATCTGAGATCTTCAGATCTCAGCCTCCTGAGTAGCATGAGCCACCAGTGCCCAGCTGAGATTTTCACTTTATTTTTGGAAACTTTCACTTGAGTTCAAGTCATTTCAAACTTATTCATAATACTTTTCATGGAACTGTTTGAAATGAGTGCCATTCTTCCTTCCATCAACCTTTCATAGGTCCTGCAGAAACCTTTACTTCCCAGCTGACTTGACTGATACACTTAAAGTCTGCTCTTGTACATTTTCTCTGTGCTTTCACTCAAGCTCTTCACTGCCTTTCTCTCCATCTTCTTCTGGCAAAGGGCTCTCTTTTTCACTACCCTGTTTGGTTAGCATCTCTTTCATAAGGCTTTCCCTGAGACTGCTCTATCCTAACTGTATTAGTCTTTGTCTCCTCTCAGTCTACATGGAGTTATGTGCTTACAATATATTGCACCTCTATTATGCATTTAGTATTGTAGCAAGTGAAATATGAGTCTGTCTGTCCTACAGGTACATGAGCTTCCCTGGGGCAGACGAATAAGGTGATGCATCTATGCATCCTTCATGGAGTTTAGTATAGAGAGTTAATAAAAGATGTACAATTCATGCTTTCAGAAAAAACCTCATAGCTAATCTGGTACATGGTCACTTTATAGAGTCTCAACAAGACAAATTTGTCAAGATCATAAACTAGTCATGGGCAAACATGGGATGATAACTCTGAAACTCTGCTCTGAGCATTTTCCACGATGGCTATCTTATCAGTAAAAGGCTGATGAAGTTTCGGTTTAATTTTCTAAAATCTTATGAATATTTACCTGGCCTTCTGGATTGTGGGTTACAGGGGCTTCACCTTCCAAAGGAGTATCTGAGCTCTGAGATCTTAGACTAGGTGCTTGCTGAAAGAAAATGAACGCAAAATTGGATTATTATATTATCTTCATAATGGCAGAAGCAATTATTACTACATTGCACCTAAAAGCAACACATACAGAGATAATTCACCAAATAATAAATCAGCGCAAGACTCTGACCCACCTAAAAACACACAAAATCATCTTCTCAAGAACATACCATATCTGTAGGTCTAGGCTTTCCATCTATATCTTTTTCTTTCACTGTTTTATCTTCTTTCAGATTCTTAGCAACTGGTTTGGACAGTGGAGAATTAATTCCTCCTTTATTATTGTGAATCATATTATGATGGCCAGTGTCTCGGAACAAGCTAAATAAACATTTGGTCTGAAAAGAAACAAAAAAATGCAATGAGGCATAGGCCAGTGAAATATACTTAAAAGCATCATAAGTTCAACACTGTAAAATCATAAAAGGGCTGGCTTTATACTCTTAATCTTCCTACCTCCACCTCCCAAGTGCTGAGATTGCATATGTATACCACATGCCTAACATCAAGCATTATCTCCTTATTTCAGCTAATTCTTTAGGCATTCTCTTTGGAACCAAGCAAATCAATTGCCCTCCACCAAGATCATCATTTCAACCCTGACTCCAAATTGTGTGAACCTTCTCTGACTGGCGGCACAGCTGTTGATCCTTATAGCTTATTGTGCCCTGGAAGTATGGCTGAGCTAAAGGTGGAAGAACGAATACAGGGAGGCCCTGGGCAAGGACGCCTCACATTCCTCAGCCTTTCGTACTGTTCACACTTCAATCTGTTCTCACATTTGCTCCATTTCAGGAGTGTAACTACTTTTTGAGTAGAGATGATTTGACAACCTCTTTATTTCTTCAAATACTCCTCTCTAATTTTTTTATGTATTTAAAAATTATTGTGAAGAAATGTCCTCTCTCTCTCTCTCTCTCTCTCTCTCTCTCTCTCTCTCTCTCTCTCTCTCTCACACACACACACACACATACACACACAGAGCTGACCTTCCATATCCGGTGAACTCAATCAACCATCAGTTTGAAATATTTTAATATTATTTCTACTGGATTGAACTATATGTTCAATCAATATGTTTTTTTCTCATGAGTTCCCTAAACAACATAGTACATAGTTTCAAAGCATTCACATTACATTAGGCATTACAAATATATATTAAATATAAACTAGGATGAAACCTTACATGTAATTCTTCCTTACCTTTTCAAAGACGGCACTGTCTATGTAGGGGTAGACATGAAAAGCTCCTCGAATCCTCTTCACACCAGGATACAGCAATGGGACCATATTAACATAAGCCACACCATGAAATGAAAGCAGAGTTTCATCTTCAGCCTAAAGGAACCAAAATGGAGAGTTGTTAGCATGAAGTGTCAAGCTCCGATTGAACAGTTCAGACTCAGGGGTATGTGTGTGTGTGTGTGTGTATCTGTCTGTCTGTCTGTGTCTGTGTGTGTGTGTGTCTGTCTGTCTGTCTGTGTGTCTGTGTGTCTGTGTCTGTGTGTGTCTGTGTCTGTGTGTGTGTGTGTGTGTGTGACAGGGGGCGGGGAAGAGAGGGAAAGAGAGGGAGACAGTACTGGGGTTTGAACTCAGGGCCTGAACACTGTTACTGAGCTTTTTTGTTCAAGTCTAGCCTTCTACCACTTGAGCCATAGCTCCACTTCCAGCTTTTTCGTGGTTAATTGGATATGAGAGTCTCATGGACTGAGCCAGGTACTGGTGGCTCACACCTGTAATCTTAGCTACTCAGGAGGCTGAGATCTAAGAATCGAGGTCTGAAGCCAGCCTGTGAAGGAAAAGTCAGAGAAACGATCTCCAATTATTACAAAAAGCTGGATGTAAAGCTGTGGCTCAAATGGTAGAGCAATAATAAAGCCCAGGGACAGTTCCAAGGCCCCAAGTTCAAGCCCCAGTAAAGGCACATACATACACATAATCACACAAAGTTTCATGGACTTCCCTACCCAGACTGGCTTTGAACTGTGATTGTTAGATCTCAGTCTCCTGAATAGCCAGGATTATATGTATGAACCATTGGTGGCCAGCTTCAAAAACTTTTTTGGTTTTTTAGAACCAACTCTGCTACTTAATTAGTTATATATCTTTGGGCCAGTTACATAGGCTTTTAGGAGGAAATGATTCTTTACTTTAAAAAAATACAAATAGCAACAACAATAACAACAAACCAGGAGCTTTGGATCTTAGTTTTGGTTCACAGACCCATGTGAAATGAAAGAAGCCTTACTAATCATGACCAATAGGTTTGATCTTATGTCTAAATTCTCATTAATTGGTAGAATATGCTGTGTTGGAAAAGATTTTGTGTATTTGTCTGGGTTCAGAACAAGAGTGCTTTGCTTGATTAGCAATATCTGCTATAACTTAAGAAGGGTGAATGACAGTCTACCAGGTTTTTTGCAATACCTGATCTCACCTGAGCTCTTATTGCAAAGAACATGTTAATAAATTAATCTTAATATACAGCAATAATAATAAGCTTAATAACAAAAATGGTTGTATGTTTGCCACAGAATAGTTTTACAAGGGACAAATATCAATTTTAAAAGAAAATACATTTAATTCTAAGCTTACAGGATACAAGGACACATACACCTCCATGTTCATTATAACACTGTTCACAATAGCCAAGATATGGAAACAACCCAGATGCCACACTCAAATGAGTGGATCCAAAAATTGTGGTACCTATATACAATGGAATATTATGCAGTCATTAGAAAGGACAAAATAGCCAGGTGCCAATGGCTCATACCTGTAATCCTAGCTACTCAGGAGGCTGAGATCTAAGATCACAGTTCAAAACCAGCCCAGGCAGGGAAGGTCCGTGATTCCCTTATCCCCAATAAAGCACTAGAAAACCAGAAGTGGCACTGTGGCTCAAGTGGTAGAGCGCTCGCCTTGAGCTGAAGAGTGCAGGGACAGCGCCCACACCCTGAGTTCAGGCCCCACAACCGACCGGATGGAACTACAGCAAATTATTTTGAGCAAGGCAAGCCAAGAGCAAAGAGACAAATGGCACATGGTTTCCCTGATATGTGGATGTTAAAGCCAAAATGCAAGAGATATGACAAAGTAAACAAGACTTGAGAAACAAAGGACTTCTACTCATTTTATTGTATCATTGCTAAATGACTCCATGTTCTTGACCACATATGTGGTTATATATACGCATATCTGAGGGAAGCTAGGAGGAGGCCACAGAATCAGAGGGAAATAGGAAAACATACAACAGAGGAGCCTATCAGCTGCACTGGACATAGATGAAAATGAACTAAGCAATGGGAGGGAGGGAGGGAATGAGAGGGAAAGAGGGAACAGCTTACATTAAGCAAAAGGAAAGAAATAGAAATACCACCTGATGTGGAAGAAATAGTTGTATCGTCAAAGCTCATAGAATTCACAAACTTTGCCTTGTGAAAGTTAAAATGTGTTTGTGACTTTAAGTATCACTATTTCACAATACTGTGAAATTTATGTAATCACCTAATCTCAATAGAAAATTTTAAAAAATCTCTTTAATTTCACCTGCTATAATAAGTAGACACTACATTTTTAAAGTTCTGATTATGCAAAAGATCAGTCTGATTTTATTTGACTGATTTTTGTCAGACTGATTTCATTTTTATTTTTTTAAAAAATCAGTCAAATAATTACTTATTAAATACCTGCTATGTGTCAGACTAGGTATTGTGGAAAATATAAAGCAGTCTCTTACATGATCCATACCCTCAGTGGGTTTGTACACAAGCAGAAAGGCCAGATACACACAGGAAAACAATAGAAAATGTAATCTAGACTCACAAAAGCTGTATCGTTTCAGAGTAATGGTGTATCTATGAAGCCTAAAACATTACTTAGTAGTCTAAGTCATTTTGCATATGGATCTAATGTAATTTTTAACGTTTAATAAGTATTTTTATGTATTAAGTTGAACTGTATTACCAATTTGAACTAGAAAAACAGCTATTTCATATGGTTCTATCTATGGCAAAACCATATTGAAGGGTTAAGAAGAAAGACAGTATCTTCAAAGAATGAACAATAGACCAGGCATGACAGCACAAGCTTGCAACCCATTACTTAGGAAGAAGAGATTGATTGAGAGGTGGTTTGAAGCCAACTCAGGCAAAAAAAAATCAGAGAGAATCCCATGTCAATAAATAAACTACCATGCCGGGTGCTGGTGGCTCACTCCTGTAATCTTAGCTACTCAGGAGGCTGAGATTTGAGGATCATGGTTCAAAGCCTGCCCAGGCAGGAAAGTCTAACAGACTCTTATGTCCAATTAACCACCAGAAAACCGGAATTGGCGCTGTGGCTCAAGTGGTAGAGCACTAGCCTTGAGCTGAAGAGCTCAGGGACAGTGCCCAGGCCCAGAGCTCAAGCCCCACAACTGACAAAAAAAAAAAAAAAGCTAGCACATCCACAATAGATAAATGGATCAAAAGAAAAAAAGTAGTACACAGTGGAATTTGACATGGCCGTTAGAAAGAATAAAATAATGTCATTAACAGGAAAATGGATTGAATAAGAACAAATCATGTTAAGTGAGGTACACTAAGCTCAAAGAGACAAATGGCACATTTCTCTGATATGCAGAAATTTGATCTAAAATATATTGGAATATATTAAATTATACAGGATTTTAGATATTCACACACAGTGAGACCAAAAGGAGATACTCTTAGTAGAGAAATACAAAAGCACAATACAGGGGCTGGGAAGGTGGCTCAGTGGTAGAGAGCTTGCCTTGCATGCTCGAGGCCTTGGGTTCAATTCCTCAGCACCACATAAGCAAAAAAAAACCCAGAAGTGGCGCTGTGGCTCAAGTGGTAGAGCGCTAAGCCTTGAGCTGAAGAGCTGAGGGACAGCGCCCAGGCCCAGAGTTCAGGCCCCACGACCGGACTCAAAAAAAAGCACAATACGTAAGTGCCTCTTCATATTTATATAAAATAATACACATACTAAAACGAACTCTAAGATATGGAAACAAGAGACCTTTTTTCTTTCTTTTTTTCAGTTTTTATTTTTTGATGATTCTTTCATCTTTCCCTTATGTACGGTATATTCAAGTGTACACCTTTGGTAGGGCTGGAGGGAGGGTATAGAACTCGAGGGAAAAGGGGTGAATAGGTGCAGCAGTGGAGGTCACTGGACACTGATGACAATGAACTATATAACTCACGGGTGTAGATGGGAGGGAGGGCCTGGGGGAAAATGGGGGAACAATGAACAATGCGGGAACATTGAGACACTGTACAAAAGAAAATGTACTCATTATCTGAGTCATGTAAGTATAATCACCTCTACAACAACAATAAAGTAAAATAACAATAAAATAAGCTGGCATAGTAGTTCCTGTTTATAATTCTAGATCCACTGGTAGGTACGGGTAGGAGGGTCTTAGTCAAGTGTGACTACAAAAATAACAAAAATAAAAAGGGTTAGGGATATGCTTAAATGGTAGAATGCCTGCCTCCCAAGTATAAGGATCTGTAATGACCCTTTCCCAAAAAGCCAATTATTAGTAAACAGGGAATTATGGGGGCCAATAATCTCAGCTTTTCTGAGACAAAGGGCTTTTTTGTGAAATGAGACTTTTAGCGCTAAAACCAAGTCTGAGCAAGTCAGCACTAGATGAGCACCAAAGGGACAACAGCTGTTATCAGTTCACAGTTTCCTTTGGTATCAGAATTAGAAACAAAATAGCATGTTTGGTCTGTCTAATCAAGCAGTTCTTATGTAATTTCTTTTAAAACTTGATACTGGGTCTCACTATGTTGTCCAAGTTAGTCTTTTTTTTTTTTTTGGTCAGTCATGGGGCTTGAACTCGGCGCCTGAGCGCTGTCCCTCAGCTCTTCAGCTCAAGACTAGCGTTCTACCACTTGAGCTACAGTGCCACTTCTGGTTTTCT